CATAGTGACTGAAGGCCTACACTACATTGAATCTTGGTGATCTGGACCCCTGCCAGCAACAAGAGGAAGCCTAACACAGGTGAGGAGTTACTGTATTTCCTAACCACATCCCCATGTGTGTTCTGGAGTCTCCATCAGAGTCTCCAACCTTTTTGTTAGGTTCAGGCAAAAGCAAACCACTGCATCCTCTCCTAGCTTTGTGATCTTCTTCATTAATAAATTTTGCTATTTTGATCATGGATCTTACCTGGATGCATGTGCCTGTTTTCATGCATGAAACATTGGAATGTATGCAACATGATCCTAGCCTGTGTACAATGGAGTCTGTGGAATTACAGAAAGTTCATAATCCCAAATATTATTATTGTACAACAGAGTCTGTGGAATTACAGAAAGTTCATAATCCCAAATATTATTATTGTTTGGGAGAAAGACTATATCATAGCATGTTGAAAATACATTGTTTTCAGGGGAGAAGCTTGGAAGGAAAACTCCACAAAGGGCCTAGTAATAAGAAAAAGCAGAATAGCTGGAAAAATTAGGTAGATACTGAAGATTCAGAAATTTTTGAAGGCTGGAGGCTTCCATAACCACAAACATTGTTCAGCAGCACAAGTCAGACTCTGGAGGACAAAAAGAGGGAAGGAGAGAGGGAGAGGGAGAAAAGTTAAAAAGAGAATTGAAGACCAAATTGGGGAAAGCCTCATGAGGAAAGATGAGCCCTGTGCTTCATGGGGATTTGGGATTTGGCAACCTGGAAAGCAGGTGCTTGGGCAGAAATCCAGACAGCAAGTACAGGAAAGGGAGGAACAAGGTGAAGACAGCATTCCTTAAGGCCTAGATACAAGAAGGTCTGTATACTACAGGTGGAACATGAAGGTGCTGAACACTTTTACTATGTACTCTTTAACTCTTCTTTAGATTTTTTCATCAATCCTTGTCCTATTTTAGTTTTAACTAATGCTGTTTTTATGGGTTGATATTCTCTATTCAACCCACATTGCACAATCTTCTCCAGCACTTTCTTTCAGAAAGTCTTGGGTTACATTTATTCTGGATTACCTATGGTCCATAGCACAGTCGTATAACATTGAATTCCACATGTACATTATTATTACAGACTTTTCCCTCTGTGATAAACTATGTAAACAGGTGTTTCCTCTTGCAAACTTTGTTTTTTAAAATTCAGAACATTGATTTCCCATTTCTTTGCTGAGAATAACAATTAACTATATGATTGAAACCTCCCATTAAAAAAATAGTAAGGCTTTGTTTTTCATGTCACTTTTCTTTTTTTACCATGATTTTCCAGAGAAGAAAGCATGCCATGTTGCCACACTATGTTCTATCAAAGAAAAGCCAAGAAAATTCACTTTGAGTGAGTAGGAGAGAAACCTTGACATTTAATCTCATTCACTCAAAGCCATTTGTAAAAGGCCCTCACTCAAGATGTAAAGGTTAGCCTATGACAACACGTTTAGAGAAGACATGCATATAGGAACAGAAGGCATCTTCTCTCCATGGTTTTCCCATAGCACTGCTCAGTCCTTGGAAATATTATCTTTTTTGAACTGAAGCTCCCAGAATCCTCTAGCTAGCATGGTCACTGGAAATGAATGGGATATTCTAGGAACTGTGGTCTACAAAATTAACTTAACCAAGATTTATTGCTAGTGTTGCTGTTGTTGTGTGCCTTCAATTCAATTCTGACATATAGTGACCCTAGGGTGAACCTATCATGGGTTTTCGTTGGCAAGATTTGTTCAGAGAAAGCCTTCCCCTGAGGCTGAGACCATGGGACTTGCCCAAGATCACCCAGTGGGTTTCATGGCTGAGCTGGGAATTGAACCCTGTTTGAGCCGAACACTCTATTACACCACACTGACTCATACTAGCAGTACTTGCACAAATAGTGTTGCACTATTCTCCTCTCTCTTTCTTCTCGCTCTGTCTCCCCCTTCCCTGCCTCTCTCCTTGTCTACATGGGTCAAATAAAATGGCCTTGCCTCATCCTCTCAGTAGGGAGGCTGGACAAAACAGGGCCCAATCCCTGAGTCTTGTACAAGCAGTCTGGAAAACTTGGGATATACCCCTCCAGAGAACTTTTTTCTTCGACTAGCCTATCACTAGTTATCCAGATATTGCTTATGTGGATGATTTTTAAACTGTGCATTTTAAATGATGAATTTTAGAAGTGGATTGTTTTAATATCTTATTTGTCCTATTAAATTGATGTGTGTGTTTAAGTGATGTTGTTTGTTCATTAATTGTTGTTGTTTCCCCCCACACACCTCAATCCATGGGGAGACGAGGGTAAGAAATAACAATAATAGTAATAAAAATAATAACCTATGTTTTTAATTTCCTGTTTGTGCTAGGTCTTCCTAGAAGGTTTAGAGCCCTCCATGTGCATAAGAGTGCTTCCTTCTGACCTTAGTGTGAGCAACATACAATGGTGGTGGTGGTGGCACTGGGAGACACAGTGGAACACATATCCAAACAGTTGCCATGCATCATAACGGAGAGCCCCAGGTAATTGGAGGAGGTCAGGGTAGCTCCAGGACCATGATACTCCTGTGCTGTAGTATTTTGGCACATGCGGACCTCAGACACACACACATGCATATTACTACATTTACAAGTAGAAATGTAAATATGTATTGTCAGAGCTGTGCCACATTTCCAAGAAGCAGCCATGTTCTTTATAGTTATACCCCTTACAGAAGAACCACAAAAATACAATACTTGATGCTGTTTCTAAACAGCTACTCTGAAGACTGAATTCCAAACCTGCATATAACAAAGCCCGTCAATAGTTCTTGAAACTTCATCCTGATTTGACACATGCTGTGGAGAGCAATGTTAAAACTGGGAAGGAGGTTGCAAAGTGACAAATAAGAAAACAAACTTGTGGTCTGGCCTGAGAACTTGAGGTCCCACAAGGAACTCCACATAATTAGGGCAAGGACAATATCAATAATCTTTATACACTCATTTATTAAAGTTTCTGTTAAGCTGGAGATTTGTTTCTCAAGTTGAACCAGTCGTAATCTTCTGCACTATGGAAGCACATCCCATAACTTTCTTCACAGGTCTCTGTTTTCATTATCCATCTCTGAACTGTTAATGTTTACTAGTGGGTTCATTCATCATTGCTTGGTTGCATTTCAGCTAAGGGAGGCTTTCTTGAAGTCTGTGTTATTACACTGGCTTTATTACAGCCGCAAATAGCTGTGGGAGCTCATTGATCTCCCCTTCCTTTCTCCTTCCAATTGAAATATCTGACCTAAATTATTCTAAATAAATCTGAAATATGTTTATGTCCATTATTCCCATAGGAGGCATTTGTATTTTGCATTGCGAGTTAATAGTGAAAGACTCTTTACATGTTTTTGTATGCATAAAACAAAAGCTTTTATAATCCTGAGGAGGCATCTTGCTGTGATAATATATTTGACTCACTAGCAGCGCTGTAAAAAAGATAAACTTTAAATACAACATATTGTGCCAAAAGATTAGAACTGACTTTGCTTGAGTTCACTATGAGTTCAAAAATCAATGCTTACAGCCCTCCTCCTCAGTTTGGTTAAGAATACAAACCATTTCCCATTCCCATCACACTGACTTTTTTGCATTAATAGATCACAGATAAAAAGGGCTTTGAAGAGAATAAAAGCATGCATAACTTTATTTACAAATATGCTCTTCTTCGACCTGGTGGAGTAACCAGCTTGTAGCATTTGTACCTTATAGGTGGTATGAGGTATTATCACTATTACTAAATGGACTAGGCTGAATATGCACCAGAATCAAATGGGGTGGAAAGTTAAAGAAAGCAAGAACAATCTGCAGTGAATGCTAGTGAAAATTAAACCACAATGCTTGGAGTATTTTGTATATGTAGTCTTAACAAAAAGTAACATTTCTACATTCTGATCTTAATACACTTCACAATGTTTGCTTTGAGCCAGAGTACAGATTCCTGCTGACATGTGAGAAGAAGGTGTAATTCAGTGGGAAAACATGTACTTTACATGCATGAGACCTCTGGCTCAATTCCCCAGGAAGAGATAGGAAAGAAATTCTGCTAGAAATTCTTGACAGTTGATACCAGACAGTGTTGACAACATTGGACCAATGTTTTAACTCAATATAAGGCAGACTCCTATGGTATGAAGACATTTAATGGCCAAGTACCTTATGACATTGGCATCCTATCATTCATAAAACATCTGCTACCTAGCACAGATAAAATGTCCTATATCTTGCAGGGATTAATAGCATGTCCAGCTTCTTCAACTATTCCTCACAAGGGTTTGTTTCTCTGTCTTTAGTTATGGAATCCTACCAGCCAGCCTCATTTGATTTTTGGGTTTATCACCAATCTGCTTGAATCAAGCCAATGGCAAAATTTGTCACAAGGTAGCCACAGAGGGTTGAATCTGTTTCATGGTAGGACTGACAGACTGAACCCAAACCAGTTAAAATTGGATCAGTGATTTCTATTAGTAAAAGATTAAGGAAAACCATGGTTCTTTTGAAATAAGAGATACTTCATTGAAATAAGAGACAGTTTGCATGCTGAAACAATTTATTCCAGAATTCCTTGAAGGATGATGCCTCAGTGTCAATGATTTAAAGGCCTGTTTCTACTTCTGGTGATTATGTGTGAGAATTCTGAAAGCAAAATGTATCTACAAAACCATTGCATCCCCATTAGTTATTGCTCTGTGAAGTTTACAGGGTAAATAAACATTTCTTCATCCTTAGCACCCATTTTTATTTCCTAGAATATACTTCACAGCGTTTGGAAGGAAAGGGGAGAAAGGCAAGGCAGGAAAAGACAAGTGGGTCTTCAACTGTTAAGAGAAATAAAATGAGTCCTTTCTTAAGTGTGGATGAATCTGCACTGGAGAACTAATGCAATTTGATGGCACTTTAGCTGCTAGCTCTCATGGCTATGGAATTCTGGGATTTGTAGTTTTCTGAGATATTTAAAAAGCAGTGTGGCATAGTGGTATGGGTGTTGGACTATGACTCTGAAAACCAAGGTTCGAATCCTGGCTTGGCCATGGAAACCTATTGGATGACTTTGGGCAAGTCATACTTTCTCAGCCTGAGAGGATGGTAATGGCAAACCTCCTTTGAACAAATCTTACCAAGAAACCCCTATGATACATTCATCTTAGGGTTGCATAAATCAGAAATGATCTGAAGGCACACAAACAACAACAAGAGAGCTATGGTGCCACAATAATCTATAAATTACAGGATTCCATAGCATGAAGCCTTGGCAGATAAACTATGGGCCATTACAGACTGCCAGAAATAATGCAGCTTGAGGCAACTTTAACTGTCCTGGCTCAGTGATAAGGAATCATGAGAACTGTACTTTATTGTGACACCATAGCTTTCAGACAGAGAAGGCTCAATGTCTCAGAAAAAAATACAATGCCCATGATTCCCTAGCACTGAGCCAGGACAGTTAAAGTGGCCACAAGCTGCATTATTTCTGGCTGGCTGTAAAGGGCTTACATTATTGATGATGTCAAATTACATTATTTTTGTACTGCAAAGGCACTTTGTGAGAGTCTTCTTCCACAGGGATGCAGCACATCTTCACAATGCTTTCAATTCCACCATAGAATTTACAACTGTGTACCTGAGAGGTTTTTGGATCCCAAGCAAACATTAGGTGTGACTGAAAAAAATCTACAATGGGAGAGTGATTATCTATGGTGATCTATTAAGCTCCTATTTACTTTCTCCTACTGTTTAATCTTACATAACCAAGGTTAGCCAAACACAGGAGTGTTCACTGAAGATAAAAGTGAAAAAAACACCTATATCACAGAGCACTGGCTCATTTTCAAACTGTTTATTGCTAGAGGAAGAGATGAGTGAAGCATGTATTTCCACAGACATGTGGATTTATGAAATTTGCTGCTTTACTTGGCTTTACAACAGGAATGCATAAACATATAGAGATCAGTATTAGCCATTATAGCAGGGATGGGGAGTGTTGCTGGACTGCAATTCCCATCATTCTCAATGTAGACTAGCTTCTTAGGACTGATAGGAGTTGGCGTCCAATAGTCACAGGTTCCGTGCATTTCTTTATTTGTCTTGCCTCCCCTTCCCCCATACAGGAACTCAATGTGGCTTACAAAATGAGAATACAAACATATAAAGAAAAAAAATCATTATAAAATGTAATTGAATTATTTATAAGAGTTAAAACAATTTCAAACATATTATTTGTAAAGAAATAAATGCAGTGCAGCACAGTATTAAAAGCTCTGTCCTTACAAAGAGCCCTGAAAGCCTGCCAAAATTAAAAAGTCTTTCCCAGGAAACAGAAAGACAATATGGGGTGCATCAATCTACCCTCCTTAGGAAGCAATTCCAGAGCCTAAAAACCACCATGAAGGCTTTCTCTTGTATCTCTATATGATATGCCTTCACAGCAAAATAGAGTTCAGGTTTAGCAGCAGAATTCCTTGAAATGCCAGTTGGTGGAAAAGGAACGTTGTTGCTTAATACACCCTGCTGTGGGCTACATAGCAGTATCTGCTGTGATCCCTGCTGGGCAAAGGGTGGTGGACTCAGGATGGAATCTTTGATCCAACAGCACTGCCCATATGTTCTTATCATATAGCCTACTGGGTGAACAAGAAAAACATCTTCAGAAAATGGCTTTCATTCCACCTTACACTAATTACTTTTTCTTAATTGACTGAACCAGCAACTAGCCTTCCAGAGCTGGATAAAACATTATGTGCAACATTTCCTGCAGTTTTTGATGTCGAAAAGTATGGAACCTAAACCCAGGTGTCTTATACTACATTTTTCATCTAGCCTGCTTTTTGTCTAATTTCATTCTACAAGTGATTGAAAATGTCCCATAGTGTATTGCAAAAATGATGTATAGAACCTCTAATAGTGAATTGAGCTGATGTATCAACAATTATCCCATGTATAGATTGAAAGGAGAAACTGTAGCATACAGGAATACAGACAAAACTCTAGGCTCCATAAACATTTCTCCAATGGTAAAATTGGAGAAATCAGAATGCTTTTTTTCTCTCTCTGCATGTTCTACATGTGTTCTAACATATGTTTTCTATTTTACTTCTTATTAATTCGTTGAAGGAAACAGATAGAAAGAAAAGCAACTCATTTGAAATGTGGTGCTGGGGAAGAGTCCTTAGGATAGCATGGGCAGCCAAGAAGACAAACAAATGGGTTCTTGAACAGATCAGACCAGGGCTCTCCTTGGAAGCAAAGATGATCAAGCTTAGACTATCGTACTTTGGCCACATAATGAGAAGGCACAGATCACTAGAAAAAACAATAATGCTAGAAAAGGTAGAGGGTAGAAGAAAGAGAGGAAGACCACAAACCAGATGGATCGACTTGATCAGGGGGGTTATGAGGAAGGGCTTGCAGGATCTGGGCAAGGCAGTGGAAGATGGGGATTCTTGGAGATGTCTCCCACAGGGTTGCCATGAATCGGAAACAACTTGAAGGCAGCTATCAACAACAAATATTTTGCTGTTCTTTCAATGTGCTCAAGGTAGCATACTGTGCATTGTTCACTCTCCCCTCCCTTTCTCCTCACTTGTGAAATTGGTCAGTGTGGAAGAGAAAGACTATCTCAATCAGGAAAAGAATAATTGGTTTCATTTCATGGTTCAGTGAAGATTTGAACCCAAGTCCCAGTTTTCCAAAGTCCCAGTCCAACAACCTAACTACTAGATTACAATTTATTTTATTTTATTTTATTTTGGTATATAATGGTTGGTGTTCTCTTTGGGATTGTCTTCACTGATGAAAAAAATCCTGCTTCACATCACATTTTCCTGATCTTTAGTAAACCTATTAACGCCACACACATCAAGGTGAGATAGGCATAATGGGCCACTAATTTCCCAATGGAAAACTGACTTCAGGGTAAGAAGGATGTCCACATCTCCACCCCTTTCATTATTTTCAGCTTCATGGTCATGTCTGCAGCACTTCCACCACCACCCTTCCAGTCATGCATGTAAATATACATATTTCTGCTTTAAGTGTAAGAAGCCAATTTCCTTTGCTTCTATTTGCATCTACATTCCTATAGGATGGTTTCTCCAACTGATGTTCAGGTCACGATCAAGTAAACCAGATTGCTGCCCACTAAACTGTTCCACCCACCAAAAACTGCCCCCCCCCAGATCTACAGTGATGCTGTCTCAAAGGGTCAGCCACACAAATGATTATCTGGATTTTCCAGGAAAGTGGGGTGTGAAATGCAGTTTTTGAAATTGGATGAAAGCCCTTGGACAGAAAAAAAGAACCTCATTCCAAGCAAATAATCAAGAACATCATGTGTCCTGCTCATAGTGACTACAAGGTGAGGATGATTCCCCCCTCCCAACAGGATAGACAAGCCCCTAGACAATGCTATCTGTTCGATTTACAACTTTATAACTGTTTTTTATTCACATTTCCAATCATGGTACTGTTGCCATAATTGTAAAAGCTCCCTAAATCCACCTTAGAATCTATCCAGCCATGTGTAATAGTGGTTTGAGTATTGATTGAACTATGACTCTAGGGTTCAATTCCTGGTTCAGCCATGAAACCCACTGGGTGACCTTGAGCAAGTCACATGCTCTCAACCTCAGGGAAAGGCAATAGCAAAATCCATCTGAATCAATCTTACCAAGACAACCTCATGACAGGTTTGTCTTAGGGTCACTGTAATTCAGAAATGACTTGAAGCCACACAACACACATAACACATGCCAAGGGACAGAATTCTACATCACTGGTGACTGGGGTGCTATAGGATGACATGTCCAGCATCCTTCTCAGTGCATTAAGGGGATGTGACAGGACTCTACAGGCGTCTCTACATTTTGATCCTCACACTATGGTTTGCTGGCAGGAGGGTGCTAGATGTGTCAGCCTTCAATATTCACAAGCACTGCAGAACTTCACCCTTCAGTGTGGCTGGTTGAAATTTAAGGAGAGCTTTCAGGGTGAGATACAGAGACACCATGTACCACAAAACAGCTATGTGCCCTATGCATTATCTTGGCTAATATAGCCATTATTTCAGTATGGCATGTAGGTGTCTTCCATTTGAACAGGGATGTAATGTTCATAGGAGAGCCAGCATGGTGTAGTGGTTTGAATGTTGAACTAGGGAGACCAGGGTTTGAATCCTAGATCAGTCATGGAAATCTACTGGGTGATGTGAAGTCGTAGGCTTTCATGGCCGGCATCCATAGGTTTTTTGTGGGTTTTTTTTCGGGCTGTGTGGCCATGTTCTAGAAGAGTTTCTTTCTGATGTTTCGCCAGCATCTGTGGCTAGCATCTTCAGAGAAAACTGAAATGCAAAAGTCTGGGTGTATATATACTGTGAGACCCTAGGTAGGGAGGAGTAGTTCCC